CTTAAAACCCTAATTTTTAGGGTTTTACCCCTATATAATCTCATTAAGTCCCGTGAGCTTATCCTCTTACCAACCTCCATATCTCCTAAACCCTAATTTCGACCCTTAGCCACCATTTTTGTGCTCTTGAGCTCTTGTGAAGAATATTGGTGTTTTCTTATACATTTTGAAGTAATAAAAGGATATTGAAGACTCATTGCTTGGAGTGAAGCTTAGAGATCCAGAATTATCACCTCTTGTGCAAGCCACTAAAGTGCGGGGACTTTTCGGACCGGCAGACATAGATTCTTTTGTGTATTTCAGCTGCTAGAGGTGAGTTTCCTCATTGTGTCTGGCGGGTCGAAGGCACCAATGTCGGCCCATGATTTGTTATGTTTAGGATGCTAGATTTCTGCGTGACTCTTGCATGTGTTATGTGTTGGTATGTTTATAGGGCGGGCCCGATGACCATTATGTATGTTATGTATCTTTGTGATTATTGCATATGTTATGTGTTTATATGTTTATATGTTTATATGTTTATATATATACCGGGCGGGGCCCGATGACTGACAGATCTGTATACCGAGCAGGGCTCGATTCCGGGTGGGGCCTGATGTCGGCCGGGGCCCATTATGTGTTTATTATTGTATGGTATGTGGTATTTGGGGAACTCACTAAACTTTGTGCTTATGGTTTTCAGTTTATGTTTCAGGTACTTCTGGTTCGAAGGGGGAAGAGCCCGAGATGATTGCAGTGCACACACCACCTCATTCCGCATTTTCTGATTACTCTGATGTTTTATGATGTATTTGATACACTTTGTTCCACCATTGTTTTATGATGATGTTTGGATAATGATTTTATTAATTCTATAAACAAAAATTTTTGGCCTTAATTTTGGGATGTTACACAAACGCTTCCATAACGTACGCCAAAAGTGGCTCACAAACTTCACGGCTCGATCAAATGTAATTCTTTTGGGAACACCATGGAAACGGACAATCTCGCTAAAGTAAAGATGTGCAACTTGGCTCGCATCGTAAGTTTTTGCACATAGCACAAAATTAGCCATTTTAGAGAATCGGTCGACGACAACCAAAATCGAGTCTTTCTTGCATTGTATATGTGGGAGGCCCAAGACAAAATCAAGGCTAACATCTTCCCAAGGTCCATTCAGAACCAAAAGTTAAGTGTAGAGACCTTCATTAGTATGATGTTTTTTTGGCAATATGACATATGCGACAATGTTCCAACAATCGGGAAACATCCTTCACTAATTGAGGCCAATAGAAACGATCTTTTATAACACCCACAATTTTATCCCGACCAAAATGTCCCCCTAAACCCCCTTGATGAGATTCTAAGATGATAGATTCCTAAAGTGAACAATAAGGTACAAATAAACGATTGTTTTTAAACAAAAGCCTTCCTATTTGGAAACTCATGGTATGGACGACTCGGACAGCCCTTCCAAGCCGCTGTAAAGTCTGGGTTATCAAGGTATAAATGTCTAAATAAGTCAAACCCATGTACCTGGAGATGAATGTATGTCAATAAAGAATGGTGACGACTTAGAGCATCCGCGATAGTGTTCGACGAACCCGTTTTGTGTCGGATAACAAACGAAAAATCTTGGAGATACTCGACCCATCTGGCATGGCATGGGTTGATTTTGGCCTGACCTTGAATAGAACGTAATGTCTGGTGATCAGAAAAAAGAATAAACTCTCTGTGTAACAAGTAGTGACGCCAATACTCAAGAGTTCTAATGATGGCATAAAATTCTTTATCATAAATACTATATTTCCATCTCGTGTCGTTGAGTTTCTCACTAAAAAAAGCAATAGGGCGATTCCCCTGGTTAAGAACGCCATTGATGCTCAAACCCGACGCATCGCACTCAACTTGAAATACATCATTCAAGTTTGGAATAACCAATACAGGAGCACTTGTAACATGATGCTTTAGGTTTTCAAATGCCTGATTAGCAGTCTCGGTCCACACAAAATTAGTACCTTTCAAAGATTTTGTTATAGGTGCAACAAGAGTACTAAAACTGTGAATAAACTGGTGGTAAAACGATGCTAAACCATGACAACTACGGACATCATGTAATCACTTCGGAGTAGGCCACGAGATAATAGCTTCACCTTTAGTCTTGTCCATCCAAATACCGTCACCCAAAATTAAATACCCAAGGAACACAAATTCGGTTGTAAGGAAATGACACTTCGGACAGTTGGCAAATAGTTGTTGATCTCGGAGAACAGTGAAACATCACGAAGGTGGTCTAAATGTTGTTGGATGTTCTAACTAAAAATAAAAATTTCATCAAAGTACACGACCACGAACCGACCAATAAATGCTTTGAAAATATGGCTCATAAGTCTCATGAAAGTTCTTGGAGCATTCGAAAGTCCGAACAGCATGACCATCCATTCGTATAAGCCACCACATGTTTTAAATGCGGTTTTCCACTCGTCACCGGGCCGTAGACGAATCTGATGGTACCCACTTCGAAGATCGACTTTCGAAAAGATTTTTGCTCCATGTAACCGGTCAATTCTTCAAATCGTTGAATATGGAACCGATACTTAACGATGATTTTATTAATAGTGTGACAATAAATACACATATGATATGCACCCCATATTTTGGAACGAGTAATTCAGGTACGACGCAAGGACTCATGTCATCTCAAATAAGGCCTTTTTAAGAAGTTGGGTCACTTGTCGGTGTAACTCGTTATATTCTTTGGGATTCATTCTGTAAGCGGGTTTGTTCAGAATACTCGCACCTGACAAAAAATCAATACAATGTTGAATTTCACGCATAAAAGGAAGGCTTGCAGGAATGTCATCAGGAAAAATATTGTTGAATTATAAATTTAAAGGCTGAATTAATATAGGTGTGTTTGAGGTTATTATTGTTTTATTCTGTCACCACAAGATCAAACAAAAAATGGTGGTGAATGGTTCCTTTTGTAATCTAAAAACTTTGATTTGGAAAGAATTAAAGTTGTTGTGGTAGAATCTCTACTATCAAGAGGAGCTAGTACAATGTTTAGGCCATCTTTTTTGAAGCTATAAGTGTTGCGATAACTGTCATGTTTGACTCGGCGGTCGTATTTTCATGGTCACCCCAATAACAGGTGACATGCATCCATAGGTATGACCTCACACCACCCCTCGTCATTATATTTATTTCCAATAGAAAAATGTACCAAACACCATTGAGTCACACGAACAATGTTTGCCTTCTTTATCCATGTTAACTGATAAGGTTCGGGATGGTTTTCAACAGGTAATCCAAGTTTTTGCACCATTATTGTTGCCACCATATTCTCACAACTACCACCGTCAATAATAGCAGTACATACTTTCCCTTTTGTTGTACACTTCGTGCAAAAAAATGTTATTTCGTAACCAAAGGGGTGTCGTCAACTGTTTTGTCGATGGTCGCGGAGATGACTCGTTGCATCATTAACACTTCCCCTCGACCAGGTAAAAGAACTTCATGGTCTATTACTTCCTTTTCCCCGTCAGTATCATATTGACATGGTGGCTCGTCCATAAAAGTAATAAGTTGCTTGTTTGGGCACTCGATTATTAGATGCGAGGGATTCTTGTCCCGGTTTGGGTCATCTCCCATGTAGAAGTTCCCTTAGATTGTTGTGCCAGGGGTACCTCCTGGTCGCGAGATGTGCCAGAAGATCGCAATGGGGTCGGGGCACGGGTTAGTATGGTATGATTTTTATTCTTGAGTTGTTTCTCTACCTTAAGGGCAAGGCGAAAAACATCATCAAGGGTCCAGAATTGTTGTAACTGGACGATGTCTGCAACATCATAACACAAAGCTCCTAAAAAGTGGACAATAACATGTTCTTCATCTTCATCAGCTCCACAACGCATTCGTAAGCGATCAAATTTTGTGATGAATTGTTCTATGGAAGAGTTTTGTTGAGTTAAACTATGATATTCAAAAATGTATCTAGCCTGTAATTGATGGGTATGAATTTTGCACGAAGAAGTTTCTTCATTTTTTCCCATGTGTCAACCCAAGATTTACCTTGTTGAACTCTTTTTCTTTTTACACGATCCCACCACAACGAAACATACTTCCACAACTTAATGGCTAGGACTTTCACTTTAAGATGATCTGTAATATTGCTGAGTTCAAAAAGACGAACACTGCTCAACCAATCGATAAACTCGTCTGGTTGTGCCTTCCCTTCGAATTCCATAATCTCACCTCTCACGCCTAAAGTACGATTGTACGAAGGAGGTCACTATGATTTTGTGGGCAAAACTGAGGATGCGGACGACAGCCAAAAGGATTCTCCTCTCGATCGTCAACATCGTTAATAACGATGTCATCTGACTCGGTTTTCTTTGGGTGGTCTTCCTGTTGTAGTTCTAATTCTCGAATCCGTTGTTGTAGGCGTTTAATTTCTTCAACATCACGTGGATCTCGTTGCGGACCACCAACCCCCATCGCACCACCTCGAGGTTGGGCGTTGTATTGAGGTCGTCCTCTGCCCGCCATGATCGTCAAGGCTGAATCTGATACCACTTGATGTGATCTTGAAAAAAGAGAACACAACAAATAGAGAGAACTAAAGAAAAGAACACAAAATAGGGTTTTGGATATTAATCGTCATTCATCAATCCCTCTGACAAACAAAACTAAAACAATAAAAAATGTATTGACCAACAATCAAGGAAAGAAATCAAAGTCTCAATCAAACATAAATGGGATATTATTTAATTGTAAAAATTAAAATAAAATAAAATATCCATAAAAAATAAGAATCCCATGCATTTTGACGTCCCTTAAGGCTCAACAATTGGGTCGTCGAGTGGGTCGATGTGAGACAAACCCGAAATGTCGGCTACATGGTCTTGCTTTGTATCATATAATCTTGCCTCCTCTTAGATTAATTATAAATATGTTTATTTGGTGATAGGTTGTTGAACAAACCTTCTCACCATTAAATAGACACACATATTTCAACGAATATGGCTAAAGAAGTTAAAGTGAGGGACAGTTTTTGTGAAGAGGTGACCTATTTTGGTGAAAAGTGTAAAATTAGCTTGGATCTGCAAATTACAACTTAGACCCCAGACACTTCTGTAATTTACTTTCCATTATAGGGACAGTTCCGTAATTGGATACATAATAATCCTGCAAAAAGATAAACAGAAATCCCTTAAAAGTCGTTCTCCTTCTGCTACCACTTCTCTATCTTCAAAGAAGAATCTCTTATCTCCTTTCCTTTATCCATATGTTTTCGAGTTTCCCTAACTGAATCCCTCGATCCATCTTGTTCGTAGCTAATTGATGATCTATCATTCTTATCTATTTAATTTTCTATTTTGAATTTTCGATCGGCGCCCTTTCGGATTTGGCGGTGTATTAGCCATCTAGCTTTTACTCGACTTTTTCGGTGGTGAGTGATTGTATATGCGGATGATAATCTGTTAGTTTATATATGTATTTATGGTGTTAATGATCTTATTAGAAATAGTTTGATGATCGCTTGTGAAAAGTTTGGTGATTTTGAAGCTTAATATGCTGTTTTGGATTTCATTTTGGCGGTATATAAGATCATAGGTATAAATATAATTGATCACTGTTAATATAACAAAATATTAGTTTTCAGAAATTTCTCCTTTCAAAAAGGAAGTTGCTTCATCAGTTTTGTTTCTCCCTTTTTTTAGGTTACGTATCGGAACTCGGATTCCTTTTGATCTAATATATTATTCATTGATTTAATCTCCTCCCATGGAAATCGGCAAAAATACTTGAAACTTATCTCCGTTGTTCCATTTTGTAAAGCTATCACGATTGATGATTCTGCTACTTGTATCACATAGTAACTGTAACAATAATTAGTCTATTGGATGATATTTGAATGCATCTCAGACTTCTCAATTTGATGATATTGCTACAGGGAAATGAGTACTCTGCAAGGTCCAGTCGTTTGCCCTTCTGTCCGTGGGAAGCAAGGTGGGATTCCTGCAGTCGATGGACCTTTGATGAAGGCAAAGATTCATAGAAGTGGAATATGTGGATTTAAAGGCGTCAACAGTCATAGGGTTCAAGTGCGCCATCGACCTGGTTCAAAGACTGTGACATGTAGTTTCAGTTCTTCTTCAAATGGAAATGGTAGCATGGCTGAGAGTTTCAATGAAAATGATTCAGATTATGTCAACTCCAGTGTGGTTGAAGCTGGTAAGATAATCACCAACAACAAATGATTCAGAAGTTAGTTTATCCAAAATTGATTTCTTTTGTTGTTTTTTCATGCTTCAGTTGAGGTCAAAAGTGGCCCTGATGGATTTGTGATTAAAATGAGAGATGGGAAGCATTTAAGATGTGCTCATAACAATCCTCAAGGTGGACATCTGCCTGATTATGCTCCACATCCTGCAATTGTACTAAAGATGGAAGATGGAACTGGACTTCTTCTTCCTATAATCGTTTGTATGTGCTTATATCTTATACTTTTCTCCCCTCTAATTCTCCACAACATTCTAGAATTACTTAACAAGATTGTTCTTACACTTTTCCTTTGCAGTGGAGATGCCTAGTGTATTGCTCATGGCTGCTATGCGCAATGTCCAAATTGTACATTGAATAAAGATTCCAAATTTCTTGCTTTTTTAATGTATTTATTTATCTTGGATTAATTGAAATTGTTATCTATGTATTTCAGGCTAGACCAACTATGTATAATGTGGTGAAGGAAATGATTGATAAGATGGGCTATAAGGTAAGTCTATTGTTACTTTATTGTAATTTGTACTCATCAAATATGTGAGATTTCCAATGTACATATGTCACACTGTGATGAGAGTTGTGTTGTGTTATGTTGTGTCTATTTACAAGGTCAAACTTGTTCGAGTAACAAAGAGAATACACGAGGCGTATTTTGCTCGATTATATCTCACAAAGGTATGAACTTTGATAAAAATCACTAATGCTTCTAGAAGCTTTTGCATAATATGAAAAAATGGGTGATTAAGTGATTTTGATTTTTGAATCTCAGGTGGATGATGAAAATGAGTGTGTTAGCTTTGACCTTCGTCCCTCTGATGCCATTAATATTGCTGTGAGGTGCAAGGTATGCTCTCAATGGTTTTCTTGAAATAATTCTGAATTTGAATAATTGTCACATAAAAGATAAAATAATATTATTAATATTATTATTATATATATTAGGTGCCAATACAAGTGAACAAATTCTTGGCACATAGTGATGGGATGAAGGTTGTTGAATCTGCAAAGATTTCATTCCAGGGTTCTTCAGATGGTTTAATATTTAAAGAACTTGATCGGTATAAACTATAAACTATAAACACACCCATCTTTCATCTTTCATCTTTCATTTAATTATATAAATAAACCTTTTTTTTTTTTTTTTTTTTTTATAAATTATATAGACCAAGTGGGCAGCCTTGTATTGAAACCAAAGAGTTTAATCTTGTAAGAAACATGCTTATTGCTGCTGTTGAAGAACGTTATAGAGATGCAGGTATTTTTTTTCTTACTTTTTGGCTTAACCCATTAAGTCATTTCCTCCAGATTAAGTGCTTAATCCATTAAGTGTTGTTTTTCACAGCTCAATGGAGGGACAAGCTTACACAATTCCGATCAAAGAAGAACTGGGCATAAAAGGTAGTGAATTCCTCTTTATTTATTTTGCAACATATAATTTAAAAAAAAAAAAGTTTTGAGTAACAATCTTCTCAAGTATATATATCATGTGTTGCAGGAGGATCGAATCTGTAAATAATTGGTCTACAAAGTTTGTTAAGTAAATAATTGGGTCTGTGTAGTTTTATGTTACTGTTATGTTATGTTATGTTATGTTATGTTATGTTATGATGTAAGCCTTTCGTAAATTTGTGAATAGTTGAAAAGTTGTAACACGATGTCTACTCTTATGGACACGTTTGCTTTCTGTGTCTTTTTCATAGCTCTGTATAGTTATGTATGCTTTTAGTTATAAGTTTATTAGGATAGAATAATGCATAACAATGAGATTAAATATAACAAAATAATGAAGATAAGTTACTATCATTGTTAATTTGTGAAATATGTTATTATAAATAACATCAATAGTACATATACTTTTGGGAAAAATCATTTAAATGACCAAAATAAGTGGAGTCGTTGAACAAGATGACAAACTTTTCGATACTTGTCTTTAAATAATCATCAATTTTGCAGTGAATCTCATTGCAATTGCAAAATAACTTTTTGAATTAAAAAAAATTAAAATTCAAACAAATAGATGTGGTAAAATACATTGATGTACTACTAAATACATATTCATAGATATTGCGAATACATGTAATATATTACAAAATATATGACATCTTTTCGTTTTTGTTTCTCTTTTTATGATGTTTTTATGGCTAAAACTTACTTTCACAATGGCTTTTATACCATAACCATCTGTACAAAAGAATTTAATGGTTATTTTATAATAAATACTGTACAAAAGAATTTAATGGTTATTTTATAATAAATACTGTACAAAAGAATGATCATTTAATAATTTTGTTAGTGACATCATCTACTTTTGTCATTTTGTAATTTTCCAACTATTTTATTATAAATTATAATAATTATAAAATGAAAATTATGTGGCTGTTATGTACCTAATATCATATCATACTATATTATAAAGGAAACAATTTTCCTTTCACCACATTCATTTGAAATTCCCATGACTTTTCATTTTCTTTCTAATAATAATTATAAGTTGATTTATAAGGTTAAATAAATATCAAACCTAAAGTGTAATTATATATAAACTAAATTTCAATATTGAAATAATATATTTACTTCTACTTTTAAAGTTATGTTTTTTAACTTTTAACATATTTTACTTAATTTATTACTTTTAATATATTGTTGGATGTAAACCATTATCATTTTAAAGATATAATTCTGGAACAATTTGTATAAAATACTTAAATTATTAATTTAAATATAACATTACAGGGTCAACTTAAATATAAATTTTAGTTTAACTTAAACAACTCAAAGAATATTTTGTAAATAGTTAAAAGTGATTAATTGTAGTGTCTTTCTGATAATGATTATAAGTTGGTTAATAAGGTTAAACAAATATCAAACCTAAGTGTAATCATAAATATACTAAATTTCAATTTTAAAATAATATTTTTACTTCTATTTATAAAGTTCTGTCTTTAACTTTTAACATATTATACTTAATTGATTAGATTTAAAATGTCGTTGTATGTAAACCATTATCAGTCTAAAGCTATAACTTTTGAACAGTTTGGACAAAATACTTAAATTGTTAATTTAAATATAACATGACAGTGTCAACTTAAATATAAATTTCAGTTCCACTTAAAAAACCAAAGAATATTTTGTAAATAGTTAAAAGTGATCAATTATACTGATAAATGCAAAAACTAAATTGTAATCTCAATTAAACTAAAATATTTCCTAAAGAAATTTTTATAATCGTTAAAAAATTTCAAATAAGTAGCTTAAAATAACTTACAATAACAATAGTTTAAAATAACTCTATATAAATAATTATATTGTTACCTTTAATATAAAAAAACAATGTTTGATGTTTTAAATAATTATAATGATAGAAATTAAAACATTAAAAAAATAAATTTTAAAAAAATAATTAACAATAACAACAACTATAAATAACATTAAACCATATATTATATTTAATTTTATTCATGTGTAACTCGCGTGTAGAAGTCAATCAAACGATTGTGATAATGCGGTTATAATAGATGTATATATTATCATATAATTTAAAATAATCAATATATTATACAATTTAGTATACAAATTATTATATCAAATTTAACAACAACGTTATTGTTATATTTAAAAAAACATATTTGTAAAGACTTCAACTATATAGGTGTTTCTGCGCAACGCGCGGGCATTCGCCTAGTTAGGTATAGAACCATCAAAAACTATATAATTTAAACAAAATTCAATGAAATATATCTATCATATTTCTTGTATCCTCTATTAGAGCTTATGATAGACTTTGTATATATTTTTTATTGAGTTTAATAAATTTAATTTTGCACCACAAACCGTGTATAAAAATATTTTATCAACTAGATGTAGTTCGATATATTGAAATTTATTACAGAAAACTATAGTGAAAATTGAAATTGTTCATTGAAAACTCGATAAACCTCTTCCCATAACTCATCAAAAAAAAAAAATAACAATGCAAGTATACATAAGGTATGTGTTGGAGGAAGTTATGAGGCTTCTACTAGAGATCTAATAAAAAATACATTCAAAATGCATAGATGTTAGTAGACCTGACAATTCGTGTATTCGTGTCATGAAAACGTGTCAGCCTCGAATTTGACACGATACGATTACACGATGGGAAATAAGCTTTATCTTAATTTTCAAGATGTATTCGTGTCATGTATTCGTGTCGTGTCGTGTCTCTCACAGATTCGTGTATTCGTGTCTGGAATTGCCAGGTCTAGATGTTAGGGATGAATTACAAAATAAAAAATAATATGAGTTCAAAAGCAATAGGAAGAAGCTAACAACGAAAAAAATTGTGTTTTTTTAATCAAAATGAAGTCAATTTAGATGGTGCCTGTTTGTTTACCACTTAATTGCAAAATTAAGAGGCAATGTCTTAAAATTTCAGATTCAGATCGTTTGTTTGCATATTATTTTTTACCACTTAAAATTAAAAATGCCTCTTATTTTTTCAGATATTAAACAAAGTCTGAAAAATTAAAAAAGACACGCGCGTTTCTTATTTGCCCTAAACAGGATCGACCGCCTCCTCTTCTTTTCTTCCCTTCGCGTCTGCTTGCTTCGCCTCTGCTTCTCTTCAGTTTCCGACGACGCCGCTGAAACGACGCCGCCCACCCATATCGTCGACGACACTGCACCCAGCAACGCCGCCGCCGCCGCAAGGTCTTCCGTCTCCAACTCGTTCTTCCGTCGGCGCAGCACCCAACATGTTTGTTTCTCTTCTTCTTTTAAAATCGAATTCGTTGCTCTTCTTCTGTTTCTTCCTTCTTTCCCCTCAAAATTGAAAATCAAAAATCGAAATTGTTATGCTATCAGTTTCTGATTTGTTCAATCAAAATCAATATTTGATGTTATGCTCGATTTTGATGTTATATGATCGAATCTGAATGTGTTTAATGGATATGATGAAATGTTGATGTTGAATTTTTGATGTTATGTTCGGATTTTTATACTCAAATTTTTATGTTTAATGTTTTTATGTTTGAGTATTATGCTGAAATGTTGTTGCTGACATAATATTTGTGTTTGATGTTATAGTGAAATCATATATGTTCTTGTTGTTATCATGAAATATCCATTAGTTTTGCTGAATTGTGCATTTGTTTTGTTGAAATAGTTATTGAAAATGTGCATTTGTATTGCTTAACTTGTTGCTATAACATGCATTTTTTGTTGAATTGATCAAAGAAATGGGAGAAAAGAAGGATAGGATTATTTGGAAGGTTGAAGGTGTCGAGAAAACGTTTCTAGAAGCTTGTTTATGTGAAGTTATAGTCAATGGACGGGAAGGGAGTAGTTTGAAAGCACTATCTTGGAGGAATGTAGCTCAAACATTAAAAATTGAACATAACTTTATTGCCAACCAAAAACAAATGAAGAACCGCTATGACTACCTAAAGTCAAAGTTTGGTGCTTTTTTGTAGTTAAAAACAAAACCGGAAATGTGTACAATTCAACAACCAACACCTTCAATCTTTCCAAAGAAGAATGGGAACTAGAATCGAAAGTATTTTGTTTAGTTATAAAAAATATATTATCATGTTTAAATAATAAAATATTTTTTCCAAACAGTCAAACAAACATGTGGATTCTTTGAGACGCACGCCACTCTCGTACCCAGAACTTTGCACACAATTGTTTGAAGGATCGACTGCGACGAACATTCATAGTTGGGGTCCAACTTCTACCCTTCCCCGTCCTACTCAAGATTCAAGCAACTATAGTTTACATGACTTTGACGACATCGATTGCACTCAACAAGAAACTGTAGGTCTCAGTGAGGAGTCCTCCGCTCAATCAAAAAACAAAAGACTACAGATACGACAAAGAGTCAAAATAAAAGTAAAGATAAGGGTAAAGATAAGGACAAAGATGCATCGAATTCAAGATTGCTTGAAATTGGGGAAGATATTGCAACGGTTGCTAAGATATTTGTAGAAAAGCATGCTTCTTCAAATTTGGGTGCGTGTATGGAAAAATTTGAGAAGTTAGGATGGGGAATATTTGATCCAAGATACACTTCTGTTGTTGCTCTTTTTGGTGAATGTGCGGATAAGAGGCACGTGTGGTTAACCATTGATCCAACTATTTGTGAGAATTGGGTCAAGACTGTTGGAGCACATTATGGAATGTTTTGCTAAGTAGATGTTTTGAATGATTTTATGGTTTTTTTGGATAAGTAGATGTTTTGAATGATTTTATGGTTTTTTTGGATAAGTAGATGTTTTGAATGACTTCATGTTTTGAATGATTTGATGGTTTTTTTAGATAACTAGATGTTTTGAGTTGATGTTTTGTATTACTTGATCTTTGGTTTGAACTAGATTTTTATATGACATGAATGACTTGATGTTTTGGATGAATTTTTACGTTATATGTTGTTAATATAATTGTTATGTATTTTCAAAATAACATATTGCATATGGATTCGGATGAAGAAATTGCATTTTTCATTTTACTATGTTGATATTGATTGAATCTAGCATCCAATAGAATTGGAAGGGCAATTGATAACGATTCGGAAATGAGCAGTCATCAACATACACACGAATTGTTACATGGAACTTCTACACAATGTCATGAGTTGATGCGTATTTCACGTGAAGTGTATCTACTTTTATGCAATCATTTTGGACGAAACAATTGGTTGCAAAGTAGTAGGCATATAAGCGTTGAAGAAAAGATGGCTATGTTCTTGACAACTATAGCACATAATA